CTAGCGCTCACTTATTTTTCCTGCATTTTTTATTCCTTGAATGGCGCCTGAGTCCAGCCGCCAACTCTTGTGTTCACAATGCAGCAGGGCAGCCGCTTGGCATGGCACCTGGAAGCTAGTGGAGATCACTGGAGTAGAGGTGTCTATACAGTGATTTCCAGCTTCTAGACGGATCCCACTGGTTTAGTACATGCAGTGTGACAGACCCAGCCGGGAGGAGGGGGCCTCAGGGTAGCCTCTTGCTTACTGACTATGGGCCCTGGCATCTGAGGGGGCTCTATTCTTTGGGAGGTGTGTGCCTGGGGGGGACCTTTTAGACTAGTTTTACTTCTAATTCAAGTCCATGTCTCCCCACACAGGAGACTCTGTGAACTGGAGGATCCGGATACAGCTTTGGGGTCTCTGTGCCTAAACCAGCATTGCCTGCTTCAAACCCTTGCTGGACTTAGAGACTCGGAGAAGATGTTAATATAATCAGCTCAAAACAACCTGATGCTGAAGTCTGTTGCTGTAATCTGTTTATTAAGATGTTATGTGTTTACTGTTGTGTCTTGGTCCCATTGTTAATTGAGTCGCCTATTGTTTCTGTCTGTTACCTAGTTCTCCTGGAGGTTCCTACATGATGGGATTCATCTGGTGTCAACTTTACCTCATTACCTAATCAGTGTGAGATGTTTATCCCAATGTGTAATGTTTGTTTTTACTGTTCATGTGGGGACTGCCCCTATTTTTGAAGTGTATAAAAACTTGTATTTCTGTTCAGTAAAGGGTTCCATTTGCACCTAAGCTAGTGTTGTCTAGTTCTTGGGTGCAATGCCCAGATTTTAATACCTTTTTGTCCTGTGTTCCAGCGGCAGAGGAAGCCATTCTCTGATGGAAGCACCCAGGTGCCAGGTGGTCCACCACACATAGTTACATTGGTCCAAGCCGGAACTGTAAAAAATATACCATACCTGGAATTTGCCTTTAAGACACGGTTATGATGGAGCAAGTAATTCCTAGGAATTCTGGGAACACAGATTGCATCTAGATGTCTCACCTCCACCATTTGGGGGTTGATTTCTCATTTTGGGATAGAAGATGCATTTCTCCAAATCTTTCCTTTTATGTCCTTCATGCCTCTATGCCAACTGTGCAATGGCTGGTTTATAGCAAAGACACATCCTTATGTTATAGAGCTGTTTATTCCAAACGGCATCAGCTGTTTCAGGCTTGTTGGCCCTCATCAGTGAAGTGTATAGAAACAATGGCTTCTCTGGGAAGTGACAAGAAAGTATAAACTTTCACATTATGATGAAATGGCCAAATGAGAATTGAAAAGCTCTCTTAATCAATTTGAATGAAGGCTTCTACAGTATACTTCTCACATCCATTAAAGATCCCAAACATATGAGGTTTTTTTCAGAGTGGGACAAATTTATAATTATAGTTTGTTCAGTCCAGGAGCCAGAGAATTTTATGGAAGCCTCCTCCATTACCAACAACTAGAGTCAACCTCAAAAGTTAGGGGCCAGCTGTATTCAGTAGCATTGGCTACCTGGCTTCTGGGATTTGTCCATCCCTGATCCTCTTTTTAGCTTTATTCCTCATTTTAAGAGGGTTGCACTTTGCTTTAGACTGGATCAGAGGAGAGCTTTTGGATCCTTTTCGCTTATTTCACCATGACGTGTTATGTAAGAATATAGAAAGGGGCATTATATGGGTAGCTGTATTGCAGCTTTATCCTCCAAAAGCTGACAGGACAACACCGGCAAATTGTTTCATATCTCGGGTAATATCTCGGGAAAGGATGCACAGCTAGGAGCCATGATGGTTGAGCAAATCTATCATTTTACAGGGTTGTAACAATGTATCAGTTCCCTCTTGTGAACTGCTGTTGCAGCTGACCCTGTGACCAATAATGGCAGTCGACCCTTTGACCAATAGTGGCAGCTAACTTTTTGACCGGTAGTGGCAGTCGACCTTTTGACCAGTAGTGGCAGTCGGCATTTGACCAGTAGTGGCAGTCGGCCTTTTGACCAGTAGTGGCAGTCGACCTTTAGACCAGTAGTGGCAGTCTACCTTTGACCAGTAGTGGCAGTCGACCTTTAGACCAGTAGTGGCAGTCGACCTTTAGACCAGTAGTGGCAGTCGACCTTTTGACCAGTAGTGGCAGTCGACCTTTTGACCAGTAGTGGCAGTCGACCTTTTGACCAGTAGTGGCAGTCGACTTTTGACAAGTAGTGGCAGTCGACCTTTTGACCAATAGTGGCAGTCGGCCTTTTGACCAATAGTGGCAGTCGGCCTTTTGACCAATAGTGGCAGTCGGCCTTTTGACCAATAGTGGCAGTCGGCCTTTTGACCAGTAGTGGCAGTCGACCTTTTGACAAGTAGTGGCAGTCGACCTTTTGACCAATAGTGGCAGTCGGCCTTTTGACCAATAGTGGCAGTCGGCCTTTTGACCAATAGTGGCAGTCGGCCTTTTGACCAATAGTGGCAGTCGGCCTTTTGACCAGTAGTGGCAGTCGGCCTTTTGACCAGTAGTGGCAGTCGGCCTTTTGACCAGTAGTGGCAGTCGACCTTTTGACCAGTAGTGGCAGTCGACCTTTTGACCAGTAGTGGCAGTCGACCTTTTGACCAGTAGTGGCAGTCGACCTTTTGACCAGTAGTGGCAGTCGACCTTTTGACCAGTAGTGGCAGTCGACCTTTTGACCAGTAGTGGCAGTCGACCTTTTGACCAGTAGTGGCAGTCGACCTTTTGACCAGTAGTGGCAGTCGACCTTTTGACCAGTAGTGGCAGTCGACCTTTTGACCAGTAGTGGCAGTCGACCTTTTGACCAGTAGTGGCAGTCGACCTTTTGACCAGTAGTGGCAGTCGACCTTTTGACCAGTAGTGGCAGTCGACCTTTTGACCAGTAGTGGCAGTCGACCTTTTGACCAGTAGTGGCAGTCGACCTTTTGACCAGTAGTGGCAGTCGACCTTTTGACCAGTAGTGGCAGTCGACCTTTTGACCAGTAGTGGCAGTCGACCTTTTGACCAGTAGTGGCAGTCAGCCTTTTGACCAGTAGGGACAGCTAACCCTTTGAGCAATAGTGGAAGTAGGCCCTTTGAGCAATAGTAGTAGCTGACCCTTTGACCAGTAGTGGTAGCTGACCTTGTGACCAATAATGGTAGATTACTTTTTGACCAATAGTGGAAGTAGGCCCTTTGAGCAATTGTGGTAGCTGGCCTTGTGACCAATAGTGGTAGCTGACCCTTGGACCCATAGTGACAATTGACCTTGTGACCAATAGTGGTAGCTGACTGTCAGGGCTCCCGGGTATGACCAGAGGTGTGTGACTGACGCAGGGAAACGCAGACTTCAGATAAGTTATAAACAATTTATTAACACTAACAATACAAACATAAACGCAGTGCAATACTAAAACATAACACAGTGCAAACGAACCAAACCAAACCAACCACAGATAACAGTACATACAATGCAAGCGTCGTCAGGCAGGCCGGGTCAATATCGTGCGGGCAGCGTGGTACAGGGGGAGTAAGCGGAGAATAGTCAGGTCACGAGCAGGGTACAGCAACTAACAGGCAGGTAGGTACAGGGGGTCAGGCAGAGAATGGTCGGGGTCACAAGCCAGGGATCAGAACAGGAGAAGTCGGCAGAGGTCAGAATCAAGCCGGGTCAGCAACAAGACAGGGACAGGGACAGGATGCAGGAACAAGATACAGGGCCCAGAAAAAAACACAACACCAAGGCAGAGTCTGCAGGTCTGAATGTCCCTTAAATACACCAGTATAATTAGTTCCAGGTGTTTGACTGGCTGCAAGGTTGAGTCTCGATTGCTGGGAGCACCCGCTGGCCAGCCCTGGTACTGCAGCTCATAAGGCAGCTGAGTCCCACTATTGCTGGCCAGTCCATTCCTGACAGTACCCCCCCCCCTCAAGGAGCGGCCTCAGGACGCTCCAAACAGTCCTAGCTGGGCAAAATGTTCCACCGCCCGGGTCTGGTAACTGGCGGGATATCAAAGACTGGCACATCGGGCAGAGGCACACGGGCAGGACTCCGGGCAGAGGCACACCGGGCTGGACTCCGGGCAGAGGCACACCGGGCAGGATCCGGGCAGAGGCACACCGGGCAGGACTCCGGGCAGAGGCACATCGGGCTGGACTCCGGGCAGAGGCACACCGGGACTCCGAGGCAGAGGCACATCGGGCTGGACACCGGGCAGAGGCACATCGGGCTGGACTCTGGGCAGAGGCACATCGGGCGGACTCTGGGCAGAGGCACATCGGGGCAGGACTCGGGCAGAGGCACATCGGGCCGGACTACCGCAGGCAGAGGCATCGGGCGGACTCCGGGCAGAGGCACATCGGGCGGACTCTGGGCAGCAGGCACATCGGATTACCAGGCGGAGCAGCAGGCACCGGGCCACCAGGGCGGTGAGCAGCAGGCACCGGGCCCCCGGGCGGAGCAGCAGGCACCGGGCCCCGGGCGGGAGCAGCAGCAGGCACCGGGCCCCCGGGCGGAGCAGCAGGCACCGGGCCCCCCGGGCGGGGCAACAGGCACCAGGCCCCCGGGCGGGGCGACCGGCATCGGGTCCCCAGGCGGGGCGACCGGCATCGGGCCCCCCCAGGTGGAGCAGCGGGCGCCGGGCCCCCAGGAGGGGCGACCGGCATCGGGCCCCCAGGCGGGGCGACAGGCATCGGGCCTCCAGGCGGAGCGGCGGGGGCCGGGCCCCCAGGAGGGGCGACAGGCATCGGGCCCCCAGGCGGGGCAACAGGCATCGGGCCCCCAGGCGGGGCAATGGCAACAGGCATCGGGCCCCCAGGCGGAGCGGCGGGCGCCGGACCCCCAGGCGGAGCGACAGGTCTCGGGCCCTCAGGCTGAGTGGCGGGCGCCGGACCCCCAGATGGAGCGACAGGTCTCGGGCCCCCAGGCGAAGCGGCGGGCACCGAGTCCCAGGCACGACAGTGGGCTCCGAGTCAACTGGCATGACCGCTGGCACTGGGTCAGACATTGGATCGTCTGGTTGGACAGCGGGCATCGGGTCACCAGGCATCAGGTCATTTGGCTCGACAGCGGGCACCGCGTCATCTGGCAAGGCAGTGGGCTCCGAGTCAACTGGTATGACCGCGGGCACTGGGTCAGACATTGGATCGTCTGACTGGACAGCGGGCATCGGGTCACCAGGCATCAAGTCATTTGGCTCGACAGCGAGCACCGCGTCATCTGGCAAGGCAGTGGGCTCCGAGTCAACTGGCATGACCACGGGCACTGGGGCAGACATTGAATGTCTGGCTGGAGCAGCGGGCATCGGGTCACCAGGCATCAGGTTATTTGGCTCGACAGCGGGCACCGTGTCATCTGGCAAGGCAGTGGGCTCCGAGTCAACAGGCACGACAGTGGGCTCTGAGTCAATTGGCACGACAGCGGGCACCGGGTCATCAGGTACCGGATTGTCTGGCGGACAGCGGGCATCGGGTCACCAGGGTACCGGATTGGGTCTGGCTCGACCGCGTCAGCTGGGGCATCACCGGGTCACAGGCATTGGATTGTCTGGCTGACAGCGGGCACTGGGGTCACCAGGCACTGGGTCACCAGGCATCAGGTCATTTGGCTTGCCAGCGGGCACCGCGTCATCTGGCAAGGCAGTGGGCACCGGGTCACCAGGCATTGGATCGTCTGGCTCGACAGCGGGCATCGGGTCACCAGGTATGACAGCGGGTACTGGGTCACCAGGCATCAGGTCATTTGGCTCGCCAGCGGGCACCGCGTCATCTGGCAAGGCAGTGGGCACCGAGTCACCAGGTATTGGACAGCGGGCTCTGACAGTCAATCGGGCATGACAGCGGGCACCGGGTCATCAGGTACCGGATTGTCTGGCTCGCCAGCGGGCACCGCGTATCTGGCGGGTCACCGGTATGACAGCGGGCAACCGGGTCATCAGGTACCGGATTGTCTGGCTCGACAGCGGGCATCAGGTCACCAGGCCTAATAGGATCGTCAGGCTGGATCAGTTCATCATGCTGGGTAGAGGGCATCCGGCTGAGTAGAGGCAGCCGGCTGAGTAGAGGCAGCCGTCTGAGTAGAGGCATCCGGCTGAGTAGAGGCATCCGGCTGAGTAGAGGCATCCGGCTGAGTACAGGCATCAGGCTGAGTAGGGGCTTCAGGCTGAGTAGGGGCTTCGGGCTGAGTAGGGCTTCGGGCTGAGTAGGGCTTCAGGCTGAGTAGAGGCTTCAGGCTGAGTAGAGGCTTCGGGGCTGAGTAGAAGCTTCGGGCTGAGTAGAGGCATCGGGCTGAGTAGGAGGCATCGGGCTGAGTAGAGGCATCGGGCTGAGTAGAGGGCTTCGGGCTGAGTAGAGGCATCAGGCTGAGTAGAGGCTTCGGGCTGAGTAGAGGCATCGGGCTGAGTAGAGGCATCGGGCTGAGTAGAGGCATCGGGCTGAGTAGAGGCATCGGGCTGAGTACAGGCATCGGCTGAGTACAGGCATCAGGCTGAGTTAGAGGATTCAGGCTGAGTCACGGAATGCAGGTTCACCGGTTTGGATACAGGCAGGATGGTATTGGTTGGAAAGAATTTTTGCTTTTTTCTGGTTTTAACTACTGGGGCACTGCAAGTAAACGCAGGTCTGCAAACGAATGGAGCAGCTGGAGACAGAGAAGAGCTGGAGGATGGAACAGGGGAAGGGAACAGTCGCTACAGAGGACTTCTTTACAGGGTTAAAGGCAGGATAGGTGCAGCGAGTGGGAACAGGGTACTGACATGCGGTAGATAGCCAAGTATACTGGGCTGTAACTGGAAGAGTTGTTGGGAATACACAGGAGAGATAGATTAGAAGCAGGACTGGGTTTTGTAAGCTGACTGAGGCTGGGTGCAACAAATCTGTCCATGTCTGCAGTATGGGTTGAACAAAGCTGAGCTTACACAAAGCCTGTCTGACCAAAGACTGCACTGCGTTTATACAATCTCTTAGTGTCTGTGGTGAACATGTGGAATAACGCTCCAGAAAGTAAACCCACATCATCCTCTAATAACCACACCAGGGACTCTACCTGGTCTGCACTAAATGGTGGCAAAAATTCATCCCTGCATTCGGGGGTACCAGATGAAGCCAACTCAGCACAAACCTCAATCAATGGCTGCACCTCAGAGAACTCTGTACCCTGATCTACTAGAACATGAGCGAGCCGTATACATTCTAGCAGTTGATCCCGGGGATACTCCTTCAGAGTTTGATAAGCATACTCCCTGTCATCAAACACTAGCAGATATAAATACGCAACCTCATCCAGATCCATCCTTCCCATCAACAAACCAAGATGGCTTCCCTGTGCAGCCACTTCTGGTCAGGATTGGCCTTGGTGTAATGTCAGGGCTCCCGGGTATGACCAGAGGTGTGTGACTGACGCAGGGAAACGCAGACTTCAGATAAGTTATAAACAATTTATTAACACTAACAATACAAACATAAACGCAGTGCAATACTAAAACATATAACACAGTGCAAACGAACCAAACCAAACCAACCACAGATAACAGTACATACAGTGCAAGCGTCGTCAGGCAGGCCGGGTCAATATCGTGCGGGCAGGTAGGGTACAGGGGGAGCAAGCGGAGAATAGTCAGGTCACGAGCAGGGTACAGCAACTAACAGGCAGGTAGGTACAGGGGGTCAGGCAGAGAATGGTCGGGGTCACAAGCCAGGGATCAGAACAGGAGAAATCAGCAGAGGTCAGAATCAAGCCGGGTCAGCAACAAGACAGGAACAGGGACAGGATGCAGGAACAAGATACAGGGCCCAGGAAAAACACAACACCAAGGCAGAGTCTGCAGGTCTGAATGTCCCTTAAATACACCAGTATAATTAGTTCCAGGTGTTTAACTGGCTGCAAGGTTGAGTCTCTGATTGCTGGGAGCACCTGCTGGCCAGCCCTGGTACTGCAGCTCATAAGGCGGCTGAGTCCCGCTATTGCTGGCCAGTCCATTCCTGACACTGACCTTGTGACCAATAATGGTAGATGACTTTTTGACCAGTAGTGGAAGTAGGCCCTTTGAGCAACTGTGGTAGCTGACCCTTTGAGCAACTGTGGTAGCTGACCCTTTGAGCAATTGTGGTAGCTGGCCTTGTGACCAATAGTGGTAGCTGACCCTTTGACCCATAGTGACAATTGACCCTGTGATCAATAGTAGTAGCTGACCCTGTGACTAGTAGTGGCTGCTGAGTCTGTGGCTAGTAGTGGCAGCTGACCCTTTCCTTCCTGGTCATTCCATGGTAAGTTGACTGTTGTCAGAAAAGCAGCGTAGCCATTGTAACATCTACCCAGAGAGTATGAAGCATGGTCTCATCACCCTTTGTAAATATGCAGCAATGTAAGGTCAGAGGGTTTATTTCTGTATAGATCACTGTGATGTTTGGGGAATTCACTCCATGGTGTAGAACCTTTTTAGTGAGTTTAAGCCATCCAGGAACTATGTTTTCAAGGCTTATTGAAGGAATCTGTGAATTGGTTCTGGGCAATGGTAATGGACTGCTGCTAACACCTACCACACCCTAATTAGAATGTGTAGAATCAATACAATAGAAACACCCTTGTTTTCGTATTCAAGGCTTGTTGGCCAACTTTTATTTACAGCAGAAGTTCCATAAATTGAATGGTTGCCCTTGCAGTGGTTTTCAGTATCACTTCACATGCAAACAGGAGAGACATTGGCCTTGGACTTGGTCTTGCACAGGGTGGATTTGGTTTAAAACAAGTTGATTTAAATCACTAGTGAAAAGGCTCGAATTAAATCATAATTTTTAAAGAGCAACTGCCATCTCTGTCCCGCAGCGGCTCCCCCCGGCCGGCTGTTGACTCACAGACAGTCCCATTCACTTTAATGGGACGACTGTGATGCGGCAGGGACACAACAAGGTGAGGGACGTGGCGGCAGCAGGTGAGTGGATGCCCGCTAACAGGCGCTGCCATGATGGATCTAAAATGACAGGTGCTCTTTAAATGTAAGGAATCCGACTCATTCTTGCTGGTAGTTAGAATCTTTAATATTTACAAAAGAAGTGAAGGTTTCCTTTTTTCAATAATAAGCTGTTCAGGTTAGTAAAGCAAGCGATATCAGAACCGATTTTTGGTTAATCACACATAGCTGGCGAAAGACTCAAAATCTTTTATTTCATGTTTTTTTTTCTCATGGTTACTATGAAATTGTGTGAATGCGTCAATGCAGTGCATGTCATCTCAGCTTGCAACGCTTGGATTCTTCGAGTGAGTTACCAAAAACGTAAATATTGAAAATATGCAGCCTCATGCTCAAGGGCGGACGGACCATTTGGAAACTCGGGCACTGCCCGAGGGCCCGGGGTCAGTAGGGGGCCCCACGAGATGCCCCTGGTACCTTTTTCATAGGCTTTTTTGAGTTTGGGCAAGGACACGGGCCCCATGATCCCCTATTGCCCGGGGGCCCCATGAGTTGTCAGTCCACCCCTGCTCATGCTACATACATTCATGCTTCCATGAAGACCATATTTGTACAAGTATCTCTTTATAGTGGAATAGTGTACCACAACTCCAGTGTCTGCCAGATCTTTCTGGAGGGATCGTGCAGTCAAACGTGGGTTTTGAATTGTTTTTCTCACAATCCTGTGAGCTGTTCTGTCTGATATTTTTCTTGGTCTTCCAGATCTTACTTTAACTTCCACTGTTCCTGATGACTGCCATTTCTTAATTACATTCCGAACAGAGGATATTGACATCTGAAAACGCTTTGCTATCTTCTTATAGCCTTCTCCAGCTTTGTGAGCGTCAACTATTTTCAGTTTCAGTTTTCTAGACAACTGCTTTAGAACAGTGGTTCTCAACCTTTCTAATGCCGCGACCCCTTAATACAGTTCCTCATGTTGTGGTGACCCCCAACCATAAAATTATTTTCGTTGCTACTTCATAACTGTAATTTTGCAGTGGGAGGAATAGTGCCCCATCATTGGTGTCAGTGGGAGGAATAGTGCCCCATCATTGGTGTCAGTGGAGGAATAGTGCCCCATCATTGGTGTCAGTGGGAGGAATAGTGCCCCATCATTGGTGTCAGTGGGAGGAATAGTGCCCCATCATTGGTGTCAGTGGGAGGAATAGTGCCCCATCATTGGTATCAGTGGGAGGAATAGTGCCCCATCATTGGTGTCAGTGGGAGGAATAGTGCCTCATCGTTGGTGTCAGTGGGGGGAATAGTGCCCCATCGTTGGTGTCAGTGGGGGGAATAGTGCCCCATCGTTGGTGTCAGTGGGGGAATAGTGCCCCATCGTTGGTGTCAGTGGGGGGAATAGTGCCCCATCGTTGGTGTCAGTGGGAGGAATAGTGCCCCATCGTTGGTGTCAGGGGGGAATAGTGCCCCATCGTTGGTGTCAGTGGGGGGAATAGTGCCCCATCGTTGGTGTCAGTGGGGGGAATAGTGCCCCATTGTTGGTGTCAGTGGGGGAATAGTGCCCCATCGTTGGTGTCAGTGGGGGGAATAGTGCCCCATCGTTGGTGTCAGTGGGGGGAATAGTGCCCCATCGTTGGTGTCAGTGGGGGGAATAGTGCCCCATCGTTGGTGTCAGTGGGGGAATAGTGCCCCATCGTTGGTGTCAGTGGGGGAATAGTGCCCCATCATTGGTGTCAGTGGGGGAATAGTGCCCCATCATTGGTGTCAGTGGGGGGAATAGTGCCCCATCATTGGTGTCAGTGGGAGGAATAGTGCCCCATCATTGGTGTCAGTGGGGGGAATAGTGCCCCATCATTGGTGTCAGTGGGGGGAATAGTGCCCCATCATTGGTGTCAGTGGGGGGAATAGTGCCCCATCATTGGTGTCAGTGGGGGGAATAGTGCCCCATCATTGGTGTCAGTGGGGGGAATAGTGCCCCA